TTTATTATTTTAACCTCCTCTGAGATTTGGCGATGTCCTCAATGACACCCTTTGTATTTTCTTTCAGGCATACCTATTGACCAAATTTTTAAAAAAAGATAATTTTACCCTTCTCTTTTTAAAAATACAATATAATATATTATTATAAGCATAAGGGAATTACTGACACTCAAAGTCACTTTTTGGCGGTTGGTGAATGGATTTTGGAGAGGTTAAAGTAATTAACGCTAAACGGCTACCCATATATAATTCATCCAAACCTTAGGGAAAGTCACAATAATTTGCCTTTTTTTTTTTTTTTTTTAATATAATAGATTATATAGTTTGCAATATTATATATTATTTATAAATTACATTATACATATTAGATATTAGGAATAGTAACAAAGTTAATTATATATACATTATATTGTAATTGTCATTATTGTTGCCTCTATTTTATATGAATGGGGCCATAAGTATATATCATATTATATAATAAAATAAATGATAAAGTGCAAAAAAACCTGTTACTATATAAAATAAAAAAAAATTATAAGAACCACCCCACTTTTTATACAGTGCATATAAATTCTTATATTTTAAAAAATTTGTAGCAAATTGCCCATTGGTCTCCAGTTTTGATCAAATTTTTTTTTTTAATTTTTTTTTATAAAAATTTCAAAAATACCCTTAAGGAAATTTTAGATATTTCTTTTTAATAAAAAATTAAAATTAAAAGAATAAATGAATAAAATTTACAAATAAATAATACAAAATTAAAATTTTGGGGGGTTTTATACATCGTTTTTAAAAAATGTCCTTATTTATTTTATTCTAATCATTTAATTATTTTTATTATTAGTTTTATTTTATAGTTTTTATTATTTATTTTTCTTACGGTCATTTTAGGTATTTCAATCTTCAAATTGAAGAAGTGTTCTTATTCGCTCCATTTGTAAAATATAGGGGAACTATTATTTCATAATACATACTATACACAAATACTAGATTATCATTTCATATTATATAGTTTATCTATATTTTTATTGTATAATATATTTTGAATATTTTTATAATATTTAATTAAAATAAAAGTATCATATATATTATGTGTTTTATATAAGTATATTATTATATAAAAAATTATTTATTATAAAATATATTTCTTATATAGTAACTATTTTATTATATGATATAATGTATTTATATAGTTTTATTTATTTTCAACTTTTAGTATAATAGATCATATAGTGTTATATTATATTTTATTTATGAGTTTTTAAGGTACAGGGATAAAGTGTCAAAAAATAAAAGTGCATGGGAGTTTTGTGAATTTAACCTTTAAAAAAATTTAATGTAGAAGAGTATTTTAATCATTCAAAACTTTAACAGAATTTATACGTTATATTACTGTTTACTTTAATTGAGAACTAATAACAGAAATGGACTAATTTCATATATTATTATGATGCCATCCCTCAATGACACAAATTTAGTTCGATGTGTTCGATCGAACTCTCTATCATTATAATATTTATTATTTCAATTGCTTTGTGCATATGTTATGACGATCCAACTCTGTCATTATTCATAATTAATTATAGTATGATATTTTTATTTTTTTTGAATGATATTTATTATTTCCATTGCTTTGTGCATATGTTATGAGGTTAAATTGCCATAATGTTTCAAGTTTTGTATTGGTAAAGTTTACAATGTAAGGAGAGTATTAAGTAATGGAACCCAAACTTTAAATGAGAATATTTTTTGGGAGCTTTTAATAATTGTCACAGTGGCCTATTGTAACGGGTGAACGATTGCTCATTTATTTAAAAATCTAAACTATCTGATAATGTTACATACCCAGTCATTCATACTCATTTCACTTCATGTTCGGATCCGATGTGGGACAAGTATTCCTTGTAATCCCCTCCCCTCAGAACACTCACTGATCGGGACGCCTCCAAGCCGGGCGCTTGGCATGACACCAGATTAAAGACTGAGTTTATCTTTGATACCAACAGTAATAGGTTAAAAATTGTCTATTTGTCCAAAAACTTAAATTATTAAGTAGTGTTACATACTAACCTATTTATATCTATCTTACTTCCGATCTGAATTCAATAGGGTTGAGTCACCCATGACATTCATGAAAAGTGTAAATGAAAATTACTAGTACATTTTAAGCTTCTGATGTCACTAAATTACGTAAATGACTCTTAGAAAGGATTTTGTAGCATATGATGTGAGCAATTAGTAAAGTTAGATTAATTTTTCGAAGTCAAAAATCATGGATGACGTTATTTTTGCTAATTGTCAGGAAAAGTAAGCGTAATTTATTTATTATTATTATTATTATTTTTCAGTAATTTATTTATTATTATTATATATTTTCTCTTGAAAAAAAATTCACACACTCATGTATATTTTATATTTTATAATAAATTTGTTATCTTATTTTTATATTTATATGCTTGTGCAAAACATTAACTTTTCTGTCATACCAAGTATTTTATTCTTATATTTCCCAAAAAAAAAAATGTAATTTATTCTTGTTTTTATACGCAAAATTTTTCTAGAATCCGTGCTTAATTAGGAGTAAATATCTTGTAAGCATTGTGCTATCATTGTTTAATCAGGAAAACAAGTGGAGAAAATCTTAGTGGAGGAATAGAGAGAGCTTCATATATTATCATCATGTAAGTTCTTCAGTATTCCTTCAACGCATATATATTTACTATTCTTGTATATCTCTCCATTCGCACTTACCTCCATCTATATATAAGAGATTTACGAATTAAAATCCCAGTATCATAATTTAAATTCTGCATATTATAACTTTGAGAATTCCTCAACTTTTTGTAACATTTAAACAAATTCAAGGCCACTTTGTGCACACTTCATTTCAGATTATTTTAATCTATTTAGTTATTCTTATTATTATTTTTTTTAAAGTGAAAAACTTAAGGAACAAAGTACAAATAAACAATTAATAATGATAAAATTACGTCATATGGAATTGATTTGTTACTTTTGTTTCTTATCATTTGCTTGTTTATGGGGAATGAGTAGCATTACTCTTCATTTTATATCCATTATTATTGCAAGTTTACCTAATTCCCACAGTCAAAATCATTTAATCAAACAAACAAATTACTTTAAACAATCATTTCTCACAAGTGACAAATTACTATAAACAATCATTTCTCACTTGATTTCCAAATTATTTGATCCTACACATAAGGTCCTAGACCATGAACCCCGTAGCAGGAAAATAAACATATGGTTCGAGCGATTAGGATTTTTCAAAATAATATTATATATATATACACAACACAAGTGACAATTACACACGCATATATACATATAATTTTACTGTTTTATACATAATACTTGGGCTGTAAAGCTGACTCGTGGTGTTGAGTGTATAAGAGACAATTTAATTTAATTTATTTTTTTTGGGATAATTTACATTTACCTCTTTTCTACTTAGGTTTTATTACACTTACGTCTCTAATATTGAATTTCTTAAAGTTACCTCCCTTCTAATTGCATGTCTATAAAACACAATTCTTGCAGTATGTTTCACTAACTACTAATAATAGTCAACGTACACTATTGTGACAAATTTTTTGACAAATATTTATCCAATATATCTTTAGTCTTGTCTTTCCAATAACAAAAAATAAAATTTATTGATCGATACTATAATAAGATAATATATCTTGTAAAATTCTTCACTCTTCATGCTTGCAGCTTAGATCTCCTTTGGAATTGTTGTTGAACCACACCTTAAAGTGTATTTTTTGAAATTGTTTGCTTCTAGCTAAATAGCGCTTTTTTATGAAGCTAAATTTTTAATTTATAAAATTGCGACAATTTCATCCGTTTTTTTTTAATTTTTATACAGGTTACTATAAAAGATATGCTTTAAAATATAATTACCAAACTAATTAAAAATTACTTTAATTATGAAAAGTAATTAATCTATCACCAAGCACCTAGCGTGCTTATTTTCTTTTAATATTATTTTTATTTTTTATAACTTTTTTATCCACACCTAGTATGATGTAACTAATAGGAAACCCTATAAAAATTCCTATTTCTTCAATCAAACCCATTTTTTTTTTCTCTTCAAAGTTTTCTCATTTTTCTTTTGTTTTTATTTTCTTCCTCTTCTTCTTCTTCTTTTGGTTTTATTTTTATCCTTAAAATATCTTTTTGCTCATGTATGATGATGTATGTGCTGTAAAAAAATATATTCTTTTGTTTTTTCTATTTTTTTTCTCTCTCTTCTTCTTCTTCTTTATTTTTGCAATTTTATGAGCTAAATGTATGTATTTTATATATTTGAATTTTTCTTTACAGTAATATTTTGCAAACAATGACATACTAGTTGATTTTTAATTACTGAACGCGCGGTTATTGCCCTTGTATTTTTTGGTTTTGTCATCTTAGGTTTTTTTTTGGGTAATTCGTTTTGTTATCTTAGTGCACCATTGATTGTCATGTTAGTTGAAAAAAGAAATAATTAATAATTAATATATCCCCAAACTAAATCTGGGCCCTGTCACGAGTTAGGCATGTAGGTCTCAAAATGCATTTTCCTCCCACGACCTCACTGTGGAATTAGCTTAGATCACAAATGCTTCCATGAATATAAAGTTACAGTAATATTCTCTAAGACTAATAAAAATGAAAAAAAAATTAATAATTATTTGTTGTTCCCTAAGGTCTTTAATAGAATGTTTAAAATGGACAAATGATCTCTAATCTATCATGATGTGTGGTGTAGATTTTCTCTTGACAAAGAATTCCAACAATGCTATCACGAAACTCAAACTCTCTGCCTTTCATTTTGAAAGGAAATGAGATACTATTACGCAGCCACACCCATTGGTAAGAAGTTCCACTAGATTTGGCTACAATGCTACATATGTCTTACTTTTAAGCATGAATTCCAATAAATGTTGATAACAACGGGTAGAATTTTATTAATGAACAGAGACTTGTAGAACATGGATTCTGCTACCACTTCAGAAGAACATGTTTCTATTAGCATCGATGAAAAGCATGCTGGCCACTCTGATGTGCCTCCTGAGCGTTGTATCTTCAAAGTGCGTGAAAAACTACGTAAGATAAATCCAGATGCATATGAACCAGAGGTTGTTGCAATTGGTCCGTACCACCGAGAAAAAGCTAATGTCCAAGGGATGGAAGAGTTTAAACTACAATACCTAAGATCACTTCTTGCAAGAAAGAAGGAGACAAGCGCGGAGAGATACATAATTGCAATGAGGAAACTGGAGGAAAAGGCACGTAAATGTTATGCAGAGCCCATAAGCCTCACTTCAGATGAATTCGTGCATATGATGCTTCTTGATGGCTGCTTCATCATTGAACTGTTCTTGAAGTACTCAAACAAGGTTAGAAGAGATAAAAATGACCCTATTTTTAGAACATATTGGATGATTGGCCGCTTAAGGCTTGATTTGATCTTATTCGAAAATCAGCTTCCTTTTTTCATCCTTCTCAAATTATATGACTTGATAATTGAGGATCCAAAACCAGACGAGTTTATTCACATTGCATTCGATTTCTTTGGGTTTTTATTTAAAAGTCATGGCCTGTCAGACTTTGATAGGGAATCTGTTCACAACGTCCAACATTTACTTTACTATACAGTAGCATATGCCCTCCACTTGTAAGGTCTTGAGAGAGAATGGAGTGGGATGACATACAATGTACATCCCAACTTCAAAAAGCCGGGGTAAAATTCAGGAAGGCTGAAGGCAGGAACTTGTTTGATATTACGTATTCCAGTAGGACAACGAGAATCCCACATTTGACCATTGACAATGATACAGAGTCCCTCTTCAGAAACCTTATCATGCACGAGCACTATGGTGATGATGGTAATAGTTTTTGCTGTATCAGCAATTATTGCTGCTTCATGGATGATCTCATTGACAAACCAGAGGACCTTGAATTATCACAAATTTGCTGGGTGATGATGAAAAGGCTGCCACCATGTTCAATGCGCTTTGCTACAATATCAACATCAATTATGATCTTTTCAGCTATGGTAACATTTACAATGATGTGAATACGCATTGTAGGAAACGTCGACATAGATGGATGGCGACATTGATCCTGGGCACTCATTTCGTTTGTGGCCGCCTTTGTATTGCTTCTGCTTACTATCACGCAAACCGTTTTGACTATTTGTTCTTATTTTGTTCACAAATCTTAGTTTCCTTTATGTTGGCACATTTAGCATATAATCCCAAATATGTGTAAGGTTTTATGGTAACCATTTGGAGTGATAAAATCCCGAGCGGGGGTATGGATGTACATGAAAAGGTGTATATATTGAAATAGGTACAGGTGAAGTTCTTTCATGATCAATATCCAGGAAAATTCACGGACTATACTCAAAAACACAATTTGAAAAAAAGATCGAATTATTGAGTTAAAGCTAAAAGTGATTAAGCAAAGATTGTATATCTTTATTCAAGGTTTTGGTCTCTATTTATAAGCAATTTACAGGTAATTGAGTCCTTTTTAAGACTCACTTTGCTTGTCCCTTAAGAATCTTAATCATAATATAATATCCTTACCGTAAAGATTTACATGATTTGGTGATTTGGTTTCCTTATATTATAATCATTCTACTAATAAATTTACTACTAAAAATGGGTTTAGTAGTCATTTGGGCTTGGAATTCTATTATTTTGGGCCTTAATGAATCCAGCCACTATGTTCGGTCATGCCGGCCCAAACTTCTTGCTAAGTTCTCATTTCGAAAGTTGAATAGTATTTGGGTTTACAGTGGGCCCCTCATGCGATAATGTGTCATCTTTTTATTTGTGGGAAAGTATTTTCCCTCCATAGTTTGCCCCTAATTCTTTCTTAAATTGGGCAACGGTCTCTATTTTGAAAGAAATTTAAAACGCTCAAACGTGTGCTTGGTGGTTCACATTTCGTGACTACTGAGTTCCACATTAGGGTTTTGTGCCTCCCAGTCCATTTTTATCTTGCTCTGTTGCTTTCGTGGTTTCCTCAGGTCAGTCTCAGTTCCTCCCTTTTTTTTTTTCTTTTTTTTTTTATTTTATTTTATTTTTATATAGTACCTCTAATCTTGCAATTGATCCTGAGTCAACACCCATGGAATCCCCTAAGTTAGTTCGCATACTGTAATGTTTCTGATTTTTACTATTTTCTATTTTTTGGGATTTTTTTAATTTTTTAGGATTATTTTTATTTTGTCTCGTTTTGTGTGTCAGGCACCGTGGGGTATGCTGGATAGGATCTGAGAGTTGGTTGGAGTATTTTCTTGAGTTCAGGACTCTTAGAAATGCATCAATTGTCATTTCGACATTTTTTTATTTTTCGAATCCGAAGGACCCAACTGGGACCCGCAACCGAAATTATAGCGTACGGAGATTATTTTTTCGGCACTATTGCATTTCATATATTATTTATTTTATGTTGTTTTATATGGTTATGTGTTTAAATATGTGGTTATAATGAATTTAGTGTATACACACACACACACACACAAATGGGATAAAAAGATATTTTATTACAGTGGGTCCCACATGTTTTATGTTCACCACATATACCACCTTATACATTACATTTTTTAAATATTTAAAAAAAGAAAAGAAAATAGAGCCTAACAAACAAATATTTGTATTTTGGGTCCGTGCGTTTGACATTTTTCAATATTTATACTTCTCCATTACCACTACTTTTTAACTTTCAAAATAATAATAATAATAATAATAATAATAAAATATCTAACAACCTAATATTTGTTGTGTAGCGGTGCTGTGGTACCATGTCCATGCGTTTGACATTTTTCAATATTTTTACTACTCCATTACCACTGCTTTAACTTTCATCGCTCCTGCAAAAGTAATAACAATCAAAGCTGTATGTCACGGGCCTAGAGATTTGGCGCAGCGGCACGGCCCGTGCGGCACCAAGGCGTTGCTTCAGCTCGCACAAGCGCCCTGGTCAGCCACCACGACCTGCCCTCCCAAGGATACATGCTGACTGGTTTCGGCCTGCCATGGCCTCGTCAGGGGAACGGCTCCAGCTCCCGACCAGTTTGTGCAGGGATGGCCAACTCCCTTCTTCATAGTCAAGTCCAAGACTAGCGACAAGCACCTCGAACTGAACCGAGTCGACCTGCCTGAACTCTGAAGAGGTACCATCCTGTGGTCCTGCACGCCCCTTCCCTGGAACCATTCCCAGTCAATGAATGTTTTTAACCAACCAGCATGCGTATCTTCTATGCTCATGGCGTCGTTAGGAATCGGATCGTGACATTCTCCCCCACCCAAATCCTGCGACGCCCTCGTCGCAGTGCGGCACTGACTCCGCTGCGTCCAACATTCCAAAGTCTGTCTCCTCCAAGTGGTATGCTCGCCTGCCCACCATCGCTTCCTTGTACAACCCCTGGCTGCACTCGCCCAATGATAGGGTTTCGGGCTAAAGGGACGCCCACTTCTTCGGGACGCAACCCCACGTTATGCCGCCTCCGCGACACCCCGAGCAAACAAGCGCCCTCCGGCTGACTTGATACCCGCCCTTCACAACGGTTTGCACGCCTCTTGAACTTGCAAGAACTTTGGTGCGCGCGGCCCTCCGGCCATCCGATGCGCGCGGCCCTCCGGTTTAAAGGACGCGTCTTCATGGGGAGATGGAGGCTCTCCTCCAACAGCATTGATTGCCCACCGACGCTTTTTCAGTGCACCGTCTTCATTCTCAAGACCCCCGGATCGACAAGAGGGCACACCTCTGTGCTTTTCCCCAAGTCCTGCTCTGATACCATTTGTCACGGGCCTAGAGATTTGGCGCAGCGGCACGGCCCGTGCGGCACCAAGGCGTTGCTTCAGCTCGCACAAGCGCCCTGGTCAGCCACCACGACCTGCCCTCCCAAGGATACATGCTGACTGGTTTCGGCCTGCCATGGCCTCGTCAGGGGAACGGCTCCAGCTCCCGACCAGTTTGTGCAGGGATGGCCAACTCCCTTCTTCATAGTCAAGTCCAAGACTAGCGATAAGCACCTCGAACTGAACCGAGTCGACCTGCCTGAACTCTGAAGAGGTACCATCCTGTGGTCCTGCACGCCCCTTCCCTGAAACCATTCCCAGTCAATGAATGTTCTTAGCCAACCAGCATGCGTATCTTCTATGCTCATGGCGTCGTTAGGAATCGGATCGTGACATGTAGGTGGGTATTCAAATAAAGGGGAGCACCTTGCTATCAAGAAAACGCCAGCGGTGACCATAGTAGCTGCATGAATCAAAACGGATACTGGAGTGGGCCCCTCCATAGCAAATAATAATAATAATAATAAATTGTCTAACAACCTAATATTTGTTGTGTAGTACCATTTCTCGTCAAGAGTTTTGAAAAGCATACCTGCATGTAACAAGAAACACATCAGGACCACACCTACAACTTTGAAGATAAAGAAAAATATTATACTTTAATATATACTTATACTATTCTACAAGTGTAATTTTTTTTTTTTTTTTTTTTTTTTACATATATATATATATATATATTTTCATTTGATATATATACTTTAATTTATTGCTTTCATTAATATACACACATATAATAACTAATTGATGGTTCATATTCATAAATCCTATCTCTCCATTATTAAATTTTCATTATTATTTTTTTTAAAATGTAAGCTATTTCTTAAAAAATTTTAATATTTTTTTTTCATTTGATATATATACTTTAATGTATTTCTTTTCTTAATATACACCCATATAATAATTAGCTTATGGTTCATATTCATAACTCCTATCTCTCTATTACTAAAATTTAATTATTAATAAATCTGTAAACGTTTGGTTACTAATCCTACATTTTTTAAACTATTTATTTTTTAAATTATAATATGAAATTTGAAGATGTCACAACCCATAATGTTTCAGTTTTCACACCACATGACCTTAGTAAGTTAGCTTTTTCGTATAATTTTTTAATTTTTTTTTACAAGACAAGAAATGTTATGAATTAAATTAGTAGATAGATTTGCCAATTTAATCCCTCTAGATGAATGACAACAGAAGCACAATTTGCTCTAACCAAATTAATCTGCTCCATGGCAAAGCCATTTGGATATAAGTGCGCGCTAAAAGCCACATTTTATATGGGTTTATCTTGCTAATATCTAGTTTTAAAGCCACATTTTACCTCTACCACTCCTATTTTCGGGCTTTAGCACCTGATAGTCCTTTTTGTGTTAATATATTTTATTTTTATTAGAGAGAGAGAGAGAGAGAGAAATAAAAAATAAAAAAAATTCTAAACATGAGCATTTCTTCATCTTGAGAAAAATTTCGCCCGGTATCGATCATCTCTTGTTGGTTTTGGAACAGATCAAATCAAGAACAGTAGCTGTAACAAGGGTCATTTATTCCACTTTGAATTCGAATAAAAAAGTGATTGGGTATAAATAGATAGGTATGTAATATTACTTAATAGTTTGAGTTTTTGGGTAAATGGGCAAACATAAACCCGTTACAGTTGATTCCAAAGCCAGACTCAGTTTTTGATCTGGTGTTACGCCAAGCGCCTCGCCTAGAAAGTATTCGTATTTTTATCCCGGATAGTTAAATTTGGATTGAGATTTTTCAACTCAAGCTCAACTTTAATTGTAAAAATGATTGCCCAA